TTCATATATGTCATGGCATTTATGTCTGAAGTTTTGGTTCCTACCAAAGAGGTTTTGCTGTTCCAATGGAAAACCCCTGAACAAAAAACAAAAAAATTCACTAGGACTGATGAAAATCTCTGTAATTCCTTTTAAAAATTGTTTAAGTAGGCTTTAATATACAACAGCTTATCATTTTTCTTCTTTCTGCTAAGAAAATGATGGAAAATGATACCAAAAGGCATCAGACCATAGTCTTGTAAATAGGGACCTTTTCTGACGAAGTCTTTTAAACATCAAACCTTAAGTGTTTTCAGTGTAGCTGGTGTAGCCACCGCCACAGAAATGCAGGCTTGATGCTAATTTTCCCATGTGAATGCCACCTCAGCGGCTCACTGAGCTACACAGGAGCCATGTGTGTGCCCTCAGCCTTTAATTTCATCCATCTTTTAGGAGCCCTGTAATCAGAAGGATGCTGTAATATGAAGCAAGTTGAATCATTCAGTTCATTACAGTCTTCCTGTTTTCCCTGCAGGAACTCAAAGGAGGAAAGGCGTACACTAAGGTAAGAGCTCCTCACCTCTCACATTCATAAACGCATACAGTTACAGATGAGCTGTTTCGTGTAAATATTAGCATTCCCTCAGCCGGACATGAAAATGAATCATATTCCCATCACATTTGCCCAGAATCTGCAGAAACATCCTGTTAGTGCCTTCCTATCCTTAACCGTAACCGTAAAAGCTCCGAACAAATGAGTAGCGTCTCGTAAATGTAACTCCAAGGTCAAACCCCCTCGTGCACATAAACTTTTGTCGATCCCTGGACGTTGCTGCCCGACAGGAACAGTTTCCTCTGCATTCGCCTCGTTCTTGATTTAGATTTCCTTCAGTTAAATATACCTCGCTTCCCTCCTTAGAAGACGGCTTCCTTAAACACACACCTAAGAAAACAGGACCTACCCCAAAGAATCTGGGAACACTTTTCTTGAGAGGGCTATAAAAATAAAATAAAAATAACATCGTTTCCACCTGGCAAAAAGCTCTGTGGTTTGATTTTGAGATAAAGGTCATGCAGACCCTTTCTTATCAGTGTGATCAGTGGCTGTCTTTAAATCCCTGATTGACATCTACAACCAGTTTACCAGCATTAAAACATTGACTGATAAGAAGTGGAGGAAGAGATCTTTTATCAAGTGGTTTAGGGTGAAAAAAGCAGGATTATTGAAGGAGTATTAAAAGGGATTAAAGGATCTGCCTTATGGCTTGTAAACAGGGCTGCTGCACATAAGAAAAATAAGATCCTGACATGTAAATGTTAAATTGTGTGGTTTGATAGCTGGTGGAAGCAAATCATAGCCAATAAAGGTTATTTTATAAATCAGTTTATAAAGATTTCATGGTTTTAATCTTACTGGCTCAATGTTGTGCTCATGTGATTGTAGTCGTGTCAGAAACCTGTGAATATTTGCAAATTGGATGAGAGCTAGGCTGCTTAAAGAGTTTACCATAAAGCTGTGAATGAAGGTGGTTTGTAGTCTAAGGTGCTTTGAGTGGTCAGTAAGATTAGAAAAACACTATAAATGTCAGTCCATGTCTTGTTCAGCTCATTTCCAGGTCCTTATTTCCATTCTTGCACTCTACTACAGTAGCTTTGCATGATTTCAAGTTCAAAATAATCCTTATCGCATACAAGATTAAACAGACCTATTAAATCCTCTCACTTTCATGCAACTTTCTTCTGATGAACTGCCCTGCACATGCAAAAGGAATAACGTGCAGGTGGATGGGGCTTCTGTGCTCTTAAGACGACCATATTAGGGATATCCCCTCTCCATGATATCATAAGGCCAAGAGTAGAAAAACACATCATAAACGAAGCTCTTAAGCAGCGTTTGACTCACAAGGACCTCAAAAATTGGTCATATTTAATGAGAATTAACCACTGAACATTAAATATATAAAAGAAAAACTCATCTGTCGAGTAGCATAAACAGAGAAAGTGTCACACCTATTTACTAATGTTTATGACCATGCAACAAGTGGATTGCTTTTAACCTAAATGTTTAATGTTTATCTGTTGTAAATCTGACATCCTAAAAGGAGTAAGACATGTGAAACAGTTGGGCTTTGAAGTGGTTTGACAGATAATTATAAAGGAAAGAAATGGATGTTTAAAGTCTGCAGAGGACATTTAAAAGGAAGACTGTATTTGTTTTTACAACAGAGAACCAGTGAAAGTGAAGAATAATCAAACTAAAACTGATAAGATAAACTGATGTTATGAAACTATGTAACAATTTAAAAAAAAAAGATACTTAAAACAACTTTCCAAATGCAGGTTTCACTCTCAGTCTGGGTTGATGTCTGTAAAGACTAACTTGTGGTTTTTGCACCCTGTCATCTGCTTCACACTTCAAAAGCTTGTGACGATAACGCCGTAAAATTACTTGGCTTGCTAAATGATGGGTGTCTCAGAAATCTGCTTTACCTCGAACATGTGCCAAAAATAAAGACCAGAGAAGGCCTCTATTAGAGCAGCTTGAATTAACTCTGTTCAAACGTCTCTTCACGCCCAGCTGGGCTTCACAGACCTCAACATGGCGGAGTTCGCAGGTTCGGGCTCCACCGTGCGCTGCTGTCTGCTGGAGGGATATGACACGAAGAACACACGGCAGGACAACTCCATACTGAAGGCAAGGAGATGAGCACTGAAATAGGAATTATGGATGTTTATTAAGAAGTGAGCAGACTGGACAGACAGAGAATGAGGAGGAAGTTGTCCCCTCTTTTATTTAAAGCTGAGTTGTGATGAGATCTGCCACCTTCCAGGACCAGTGTCATGTCTTTTTCACCTTCATTGTGTTTGTTTTATGATGATAGTGTGGTGCTGAAATACTCAAAAAACTGATGTATTAAAAGGAGACTAGCTGGTACCTGGTTGGACATCCTTAACAGCATAAATTCAACAATGTGCTGGAAAAATTCCCCAAAGCTTTTGGTCCATGTTGACATGACAGCATCACACAGCTGCTGCAGATTTGTCGGCTGCACATTCAAGATGTAAATCCTCTATTATAACACATAAAGGTGTTTTATTGAGATCTGAAGGCCATTTGGGTTCAGTGAACTCACTGGCGTGTTCAAGAAACCAATTTGAGGCGATCATGCAGTGGTCATAACGATCAGCAAAAATACTCAGGGAGGTTAAAATGATGCCCAGTTGGTACTAAGGGTCCTAAAGTGTACCAAGAAAATATCCCCCACACTATTACACAACTACCAGTAGCCTGAACTGTTAATACGATACAAATAAGATAATTAGTCTGTGAAATTATTAGGTTTTTATGCCGCCTTCTTTTTTTTCTTTCAATAACTGTTTAGTGTCCTTGACAAAAAAATAAATTTAAAAAACCAGGCGTTGTTCTAGGCTTCAAGAAATGTTTCTCTTTTTAATTGATTTTTTTTGTATAAACACAGTGGAAATGAGCACAAAGTGACCGTGCTGAGTACGATGAAGCTGAGTCACTTCATTGCCTTTGTGGATGATGGAGGCTGGGAAGTTCAGGAACTCTATGGCGCCACCCAGTGACCATGAACACAAACCACTCTGTGAAGCAAAACAGTCACGAGTCTTTTTGTCATCTCGAGTCTCTGGAAGACTTTGTGTTGCGCAGATGTTTGTGACTCACACGTCACAGATGGGATTAATGGGAACTACTCCAGGCTTTTCCAGTTGATGCTCATTACTTCTTAAGAAAACGACGGTCTTTTCAGTTTAGTCACGTTACATCTCGGCATGAGCGTAAGATGGACATTTTTGGGGGGGTTTCAGCCACTGGGTTAGTCTGACTTCACTTTGAAACTGAAAGGAAACTGAAAACTGAAGTAAAGATAACAATGTGTTCAACAAGTAAAATAAAATAAAATCTGCCAGCTTTAGGTTGCATTACAACAGTGAAATGAAAAGGTTTACATGTGTGCAGTTTGGGAAGCGCCGATTATTATTTTCACACCGCCTTAGTCAACAAGCGTCTGTATCGACAAAACCATTTTAACCATTTTCCTTTGAGTGATGTGTGATGTGTGAATAACTTTATAGCAGAGGAACTCTTCTCTCCAAAGTCCATACCTCTGAGTCAATGCAGTAAATGATATAAATTTATTATTTTGAAATGGGTGTTGGTGATGAGTCATTCCCTTTTCCTCCCGTGATGAATAGTGGATCGGGTTGTGCTAGATTGTTTACAAGGTGCGAGTGATGGTTTGGTGATTCTGATAACGTTCTCAGGCTGTCAGATTTGAGTTTATTGTCATTGTTTTGAAATATTTCGTTTTTTAACTGATCGTGTTACAAAGGGTAGTTCTGATATTGGGTATTTTTACATTGATTTTTCTCTGTCCAACCATGAGATCTTGTGACTGTCAAACTAAATCCAGTTTAGTCAAAGGAGCTTGCAAAGAAAAGCGTCTGGACTTCTTTAAGTTGCTTGAAGACGTTTCACCTCTCATCCGAGAAGCTTCTTCAGTTCTAAGGTCAAATAATGGGGAGTCCCAGATTTAAACCTGGTGAGAGTATCCCCCCACAGAGGGACAAAAGGACCTCCTGATGATCCTCTAATCGCCTGAGCCAAGGTGTGGAAAATGGTTGTGGGTCCCAATCAGCCAGGGTTTCGTCTTCAAGCAACTTAAAGAAGTCCAGATGCCTTTCTTTGCAAGCTCCTTTGACTTTGACTTTGGCTTTGACTTCGATGACCTGGATGACTGAGAACCTTCACAGACATAAATCCAGTTTACTAAAAATGTAATTGATTAGTAAGGTAGTAATGTTGAACGCTGGGTGCCTCTAACCCACCAAGAGATTTCTTACTTCTGTGGGGTTGATAGGGATATTTTAGGGTTTTTATTTTTCCAATAGAAACCTGTTGTCTGTGGGGTAGGTGTGCGGGGTAGTTGGAAGCAATTAAAACAGGTAATTAAGTTGTGGAAGCATCTTCACTTTAACTGTGGATAAAGGGCTGATCTGGAAGTTGTCATATTTAGGTTGTGAGTAAGTATAACTCGAAGTCTTGTAGTTTCAGCTGAGTAATGCCAGAAAAGCTGGTTTTGTCAGGCATGCTTCTTGTTTGGATGTTCAGTATCGTTTCCTTCATGGTTTTGTTTTCTTGACTAACTTAATTTCTTCGGTTAAAGTTTTAACAGTGTCTTGAAGTGCACTATTACAGTGCTGGAATTTTTTGATGTAGTTATGCATGGAGGAATGTAGTTATGAACGCATTTCAGACTTGATAGGAGTTTTTATTTTGTTACGTAGTGCTACAAGTAAGTCCAGTTTTTTATTTATCGATGCAAGAACACTGACTTCGATATCTGTTGTCAGTAGATCGCTGGTGTCGGTGGATGATGTCGTCTTGCCTTTGTGAGGTTTCGGCGTCTCCTGTTGCGTTGTGGATTTATCCATATTATCCATCGTGAACTGGTAGTAATGATTATCAGAAACTTAGATGAAAGTTTTAAAGGTATTGAATCATGAAAAGGTTTGTTTACCCTGAGTGGATGTGTGTGGCCATGATGAATCTGATGAATGAATCCATGATGAATCTTGTGACAAAAGTAGTACTTAAATAAGCTTTACATTGAGGTACAGTATCACAATCAAAGATTATTCTTTAGTTAGGGCTTTAAAGTACTTTTTGTTTGTTTGTCTGAAATCAGTTTCCTGTTTGAGATGTCCTTCAAATGACAGAGTTTAAAAAAATGCTCTTTTAATTTTTTCCCCAAAAGGTGATCATTGGGATGACCCTCCTGTCGGGAGATCCGTGCTTTAAAACGTGAGTAATCCTCAGTGTGAGATTTAAGATGATTAAAACTGATAAATAAATATGTGATTAGCTGTGCATGCAGGGCTCAGGCATCCTCTAGGTTGCTAGGGAAAAATGTGCTGCAGCAAAAACCTTGCGATTGGTTTGATTGGTGCCAGATTTACGTAGTTTTACTGCAGTTTGCATGGAAGATGATGACTTGTCTGCAAACACTCTCCAACTACTTGCTGGGCAGTAGCAGTGACACTATGAAAAGAGTGCCACAAACTGGAAACGGGAACGCTTGCCTCCAAAGTAAAAGCTGCACCTTTGGAAACATGGTGGTTGCCGTGATAAGGCACAACTTTTACTGTGAAGGTGAACATACTCCAGACCACAGACAATAGTTTTTAAAGTGTTTTTTTATTGTGGGGGATTGTAGTTACACTTTGGAAGTCTTGAAGATTTCTGTTTATTTTTCTTTATTTAATATTTGTGAAAGTAAAAAACAAACAAACAGACTATACATTTCCAGCTTAATAAACAATATTTTCTACAGTATTGCATAGCAGTAAAACCTTTTGCGCAATCCACTGGTATTTAATATGTTACTGGTATTTAAAGTTCATTTCAACCAGATTCCTTAGTGCTTATAACTTTGTGCCGTTTTGTCCTTTGTGGCCAAAATGACTCAGTTTTTCCTCCCTCAATAAAACAAATCTTATCTGAGCGTGCCAAGCTAAGCAGAACTGCACCTCTGTCCCCATTTAGTCTGTCCCAGGCTGATAAGCTGTGTATCTTTTCTCTTTTCCTTTTTTTTTACCCTGCAGACCTCAAAGCACAGCAAAGTCCATCTCCATCCCAGGACAGGAGCACACCCTGCAGCTGGACTGCAAGGGGGAGGGCACTGCTGAGCCTGGACCGCCGGGAGGGGTTTCCCTGGGCCGAGGCTCCAAACATCGGCCTTCCATCATCAGCTCAGGTACACGACGTGTGCTGCAGCCACGAAGAAACTGAGCATCTGTAGCAGTTTTATATGACCTTTCATCATTTTAACAGGTTTAGTATGACAGAAAAATAAGGAAAAGCACAATATGTCTGAGAGGAAGAGAATGGTAATACAAAGAGCAAATATGTAAATGATCAGTATATTATACTTGGAAGGTGTACTTTACTGTTTATCTTGAGTTTTAGGGAGATATTTGGAAGGATTTGAATTTGATGAGCAGATTTTCTTTGGATTCTGAATCAATAAAATGGTTTTACACCCCCACAGCTGTTTTCCAGGTGCAGTGAAGTTTAAGTCAGAAGAGATTTGAGTTGAATCCACGGACAGATTTCTCTTCATCATAACCATCCACGAATGTTAAAGCCAAACGGCTCCTGAACTCGGTGGCATCTGTCAAACTGTCAGACTGAAGGATAAATCCCACTGAAGTAATGTCTAAAACAAATGAGATTAAGAAAAGTATGAAAGATCAGATAATGTGTTCTTGAAACTGGACTCCGATCTTTTAGATCTCGGCCCAACTTTCCTAAATCTCAGCCAGATGTTTTGCTTGGAGCCAGAAATTCCCAGAGTTAATTTTCTTTGTATGGGAAAACTAGCAGACTGCGTTTAGGATGTTAGGTTTGAATTAAACTAAAAAAAAAGAAACCTGTTTTTGTTTCAGACTTGGAAGGCTGAGTTTGTTAACCTTTTCCATGCAAAGAAAACGTGCAGATCCTCAACCACAAGCCGTAAATACATAGACGGTTAGATTTCTGCTGTGAAAGTGAAAAGACTGCATTATGTCTGCTCTTTACAGACATTTTTACCAATTATTATCACGTATGAGGTGGTAACAGTGGTGCTTTTTTCTTCTTTGTGTACCTTCAGGACTCCTGGAGGAATCTGAGGTGAATCCGTCGGTTCCTGCAGAAGCTTTCCAGTCTGGTCACTCTCGTAACTCCAGCTACGCCAGCCAGCACAGCAAAATCTCAGGTACACAATCTCAG